TAGTAGTCTTAGTCGTCGGAGCTATAACCCGTTTCCCCATGATTGACACAAACTACCAAATCATGTGCTGGAACGTCCGAGGGCTCAACTCGCCGGCCCGACAAGCCGTAGTGTGCGAGACGGCAGAAACACACAAGCTGGCCCTTCTCTGCCTGCAAGAGACTAAGATCGACAAGTGGAGTAGATCGTTAGTTAGAGAGGTTGGCGGGTGCAGGCTCGCTGATTGCGTCGTCCTCCCGACGATTGGCACTCGTGGTGGCGTCGCGATCTTCTGGGACAAGAGCCGGGTAGACATGTAATCCAGCGCCATTGGCCATTTCTCCATCACGGCCAAAATCACCCTAGCGGCAACAACTTCATCCTTTTGGATGACGACGGTGTACAGACCCGTCGACGATGGGAGGAAAGATGAGTTCCTGGCCGAGCTAGCCCGAGTTGCACCGCCAACAAACGCCCCCTGGCTCATCAATGGCGACTTCAACTTGATCTATGAGGCCCGAGACAAGAACAACAGCAACATAAACCGCAGAATCATGGGCAAATTCAGAGTTGCAATCGACGCGGCAGGACTGAAAGAGATCAAGTGCAAAAACAGAAAATTCACTTGGAGCAATGAGCGGACGACACCAGCCCTAGTTAGCATAGACAAATTTTTCTGCAATATGGCCTGGAGCTCCATGTTCCCGTCATATCTCCTCCATGCCGCTTCAACATCATGCTCCGACCACTGCCCCTTGCTGTTGTCTGAAGCTTCTTCACCCCGTCGCGTGGCCCGTTTTCACTTTGAATCCTTCTGGCCGTGCTTTCCTCGCTTCCATGTGACGGTCCAATGCGCGTGGAACCGACCGGTCGCCTCCAGCTGCGCCTTCCAGCGTCTCAACACCAAGCTGGCTAGAACGGCAAAAGACCTGAAGATTTGGGCGAAGGGTTTCTTCAGTGAGACAAGGCTTTAGATGCACATGGCAAATGAGATCATCCTGCGCTTTGACATTGCCCAGGAGCGCATGCAGCTATCGAGCGAAGAACTGCAGCTACGGAAACAGCTTAAGATGCGCATCCTCGGCCTCGCTGCGATCAACAGAGCCCGCAAATGGCAGGCATCGCGTGTCACCTGGCTACGTGCGGGCGACGCCAAGATGGTGTTTTTCCAGGCCAAAATCAACTCCAGGCGTCAGAAGAACTTCATCCACGCCCTCCGCAGCGGTGACGCCATCGCCATCTCTCATGGCGACAAGGAGCAGATCATCCATGAGCACTTCAACTCCACCTTGGGGATGGCGACGCCGCGTAGCTGCACCAACAACTGGGACGCCGTCCACCTGCCAACCTTGCCCGCGGCCGGGCCTCGACACCCCGTTCACCGAGGAGGAGGTGTGGGCAGCGATTTGCAAGTCTCCACAAGAAAATTCCCCAAGGCCAGACGGCTTCAACGACTCCTTCTTCCGCTCCTGTTGGCCCATCATCAAGGACGACATCATGGCAGCCTTCCATCAGTTCTACAACCTCGCGGGGCGCGATATGTCCGTGATCAACAATGCGGCGATCATCCTGCTGCCAAAGAAGGACGGGGCGACAGAGATCGCAGACTACAGGCCCATCAGCCTGATCCATTCAATCGCGAAGCTCATCTCCAAGGTCCTCTCCATTAGGCTTGCCTCCGTCATCGGCTCAATCATCTCGCCCGCGCAGACGGCATTCCTCAAGACAAAGTGCATCCATGGCAGCTTCCTCTATGTGCAAAACTCCGTCCGGGCCCTGCATCGCCGCAAAACACCGTGTCTTCTATTGAAGTTGGACATAGCGAAAGCATTCGACATCGTGTCCTGGGAGTGTCTCCTCGAACTGCTTCAGAAACTAGGGTTTAGCGCGTGCTGGCGGGACTGGGTCGCGCGTCTTCTCGCCACTGCTTCATCTTCGATCTCCCTCAACGGCACGGCAGGCCCAAAGATTCTCCACCTGCGGGGGTTGCGACAGGGCGACCCGCTGTCCCCCTTCCTCTTCATCCTAGCCATCGATCCGTTGCATCACCTCATCGCCACGGCTGTGGATCAGCAACTCCTCCCCCGCCTCCCTGGACGTGATCTTGCGCTACGGGTGAGCCTATATGCTGACGACGCCGTCATCTTCTTAAACCCTAGCCGCGACGAGGTCGACTCCCTGCTGCGCATTCTAGGTGACTTCGGAAAAGCAACCGGGCTCCGCATCAACCCAGCCAAAATCCACGGTCTCCCTCATCCGATGCGAAAACGTCAACATTGGGGAGGTGCTGCAGGGTTTTGCGAGCTTTGTCGCCCCCTTCCCCATTAGGTATCTAGGCCTCCCGGTCACCACGGGCCGTCTACGCCTCGTTCACCTCCAGTTTATCATCGATAGAATCAAGGCGAGATTAGCGGGATGGAAGGGCAAGCTGCTGCCGATGGCGGGACGCCGAGCGCTCGTCCGCTGCGTGTTGAGCGCCATGCCAACCTTCGCGCTCACCATCCTCCGTGTCCCAAAGAGGATCCTCAGGGAGGTCGACAAGTGCAGGCGGCGCTTCCTTTGGCGCCAAGATGAAGAGATCACTGGTGCCAGTTGCAAGGTCAACTGGCTGACAGTGTGTGTCCCAACGGAGCAGGGAGGCCTAGGCATCCCCGACCTGCAGCGCTTCGGCAGAGCGCTCTGTCTGCGTTGGCTTTGGATCGCCTAGTACCACCCAGAAAGGCCCTGGGTGGGCTCTGCACTGCCATGTGATGATGCGGACATGGCACTCTTCTCGGCCTCGACGAAGGTGACGATCGGAGACGGGACGCGGGCATCCTTCTAGCTCTCCCCGTGGCTCGGACATGGAAGTCTCTCGCAGCGCTTCCCTAGGCTCTTCATCCACTCTCGACGCAAGCACATATCAGTCCACGACGCAGTGAGCGACGACACCTTGATCCGCGACTTTGCCCACGGACAAAACCAGCACCTCCTCGAGGACGTCCTGGCTTTGCACTGCGAGCTACAGCGATCGACGCAGCCTCTTCGACCAGGAGTGCCGGACGAACTCACCTGGAAGCTCTCGAGCTCGGGGACGTACTCGGCCAGGTCTGCATACCAAGCACAGTTTCAGGGTAGGACGGCGACCAACTTCGATCAATTGATCTGGAAAGCCTGGGCGCCGGGGAAGATCATTTTTTTCATGGCTACTATTGCGGGACAAGCTCTGGTGCAATGACAGATTACAGAGACGGGGCTGGCCGAACAGCTACTTCTGCCAACTCTGCGTCAGAAGCCTCGATTCCTTGGGCCACCTGTTCTGGAACTGCCCGGAGTCCAGGAACGTATGGAGCGCGATCGGACAATGGCACGGCTGCTCCGCGCTCTCCCATGTGAGCTGCTGGAGCCGCGGAAACTCCAGCACGATCATCCAGAACATCTTGGCGCGCACTGATCCACCACGGCGGCACGGTGCGCGGTCAATCCTGCTGCTGGCATGCTGGGAGATTTGGCAAGAAAGAAACAACTGCACTTTTCAACACAGCCTTCCGAGCGTGCGAGAAATTATCAGGCGCATCCGAGACGGCATCGAGCTCTGAGGATCACAGGAGCAACGTGCATCGAGAGCCCATTCGGGGAACCACCTTAAGAGAATTTTTTTGCTTGTCCTAGGGTTTTTCGGCCGCCTGTGGCCAACCTTACGCACTTGATCCTCGGATCTTCACCCCCTGTTTGTTCTTCCGCTGCTTCCTGCTATAATCAATGAAAAGCCAGCATTTGCTGGATCTTTCAAAAAAAACAATTGACTATGCATATTACATAAAAATCATTTTTTTAACTTTTTAGTTTTTTTAATTTACTATTTATAAGAGATGCGCATGAAACTATGTTCATCAAATTCGCGTCCATTTCTCGAATCCTACTAAATATAGTAGGCGTGTCATTCGCCATAAAGACAAAAACTAGGTGTGGTCGGCAGCTGAAAAGGGTCCAGCGGCCAGTGGCTCGTCCGAGCCCATCATCCCCAGCGGAAAGCAAGCTGACCTGTGCAAAAGGTAGACTTTTCGGTCATCACTGACCAGAAGCACCGAGCCGTTACACCCGGCCGGACGAAGTTAAAGCTCTCCCCCACTCCAAACTTCAGACATGGCCAAACACCAAGCCCCAAAATCCCGTCGTCTCCAAATTCCACTTCGCCCCGGCCGCCTGTAGCAATAGCAACAAGAAGCTACTCCTAGAAGAAATGGAGGGCGACGAGATCTTTGCAAGCCTAGACTCGCTCTGGTTCCACTCCAGCGTCCTTCACCGGCGGCCGCGCTTCAAGCAGCACTCGGAAGAGCTGAAGCCGCCCAGGAATCAAGATCAGCATCCCAAATGCGTCGACGGCGAGGTGACGCTGGGAGCGAGAAGAGCGGATCCGGGAAGCAGGGCGCTTCAAGAGCGCATCGAGACATGGCAGGAGGAGCAGTGGCGGCGGACGCTCGTCGTCGCGGCACCGCCACGGTGCTCGCCCGTCAGCGATGGTGTGGCCATGAAGGCTCATCTCAGGTCGTGGGCTCATGCCGTTGCTTGCTCCGTCAGATGAAGGCCCTCCATCAGTTCAAAATCTTGCAATTTGGTACGATGTTCCCGTTGTTTGCTTCACATACTAGTATATCTGAAATAAAGACATCTCGCCTGTAGCTTCTAAGTTTCACATGATATCTCCTCTGAGCTGCGCATTTCAATCTGCCAATTGAGAGTCTGCACAATTCCACTTGGAGTTTCTTTACGTTTGCACACACCGACGAGGTTGTGGGAGGAGCCAGGGGGCACTGCTTATTGTACACTTGTTTTACATCTGGAATCTGCATCCTATGGGTGATTTACAGATCGGCATCAGCCAGCTCTAGAACATGATTTACAGACATTGCTAACACGTCGAATCGAGGGCGGGAGAGCAAATGCTATGCAGCTCTCCTCAAATAATTAGGCTATACATGGAGGGTTAACTAACGCTTCATAAAACCACACATTTGATGTGTAACGACCGTGTTCTCTTCTCACTCCTGGTTGGACGCTGCCTCTGGAAGTTTGAATGTTGGAGGCCTGTCTGCACCTTTCCTCGAGTATTCTCGCCACCTCCTTGCCGCCGCAGCCGCTCGCTTCACTCTCTCCTTTGTGTCCTCATCTGTTTCACATGTCAGCAGGAGTATTAGAACACAGATAGGCAAAGGATGGGATCCCAAATGATCCGACGAATTGAAAACATGCTAGTTTTACCATTCTTTTGGTATCTTGTTGGTGACCCCCATATATCACTCCATGAACTGCCCTTGTTAGCATCATCTTGGCTCATCCGCATCCGCACCTTATTCTGCAGGACATTACGCAGAGGTTCAGCACAAGACACATGCAGTTGATATGTGGAAAATCAGAAGTTTATGATCCTCCTAAACTGGATTTTCATACGCATATATAAAGAAAGCCATGTATGGAACAGAGAATTATACCAAGACTTGTGCTTGTCTTTTCTCCCAGCGCGTACTTGCCTGACAGCAGGAAAGATAAATAGAACATGTTAAGACCTACATAAATTTCGTCGCTAAAAAAAGACCTACTACATGAACTGTGGTTTAAACTGCATAGAGTCTGTAATAACAACTTCAGAAGGTGGACGTATTTAGAAATATGCACATTAATTTTTATAATGAATTGCATTGCATAGAGCCCATCCATCATCACGCGAGGAAGGGCTTTTTTTTCGAAAAGGAGGATACCCCCCGGCCTCCACACAGAGAAAGTTAGGGGAGAAAAATGTAATTTACATGGGTAAAGATATTACCATCCGGAACACATCAAATGAACTCCCCATCCCAGAAAGCATCAATGCAACCTGCTCAAATGGGAAGCAGATCATATGATATTACAAGGTAGGGTAATCTGAATCTAGTATGATACAGTAGAAAACAGCAGAGTGATTGCATATTAACTAACTGCAGAAATTCCTTACATTCACTCTCTCGACTCTGCGCATTTCATCCTCGAGGAGTGTAACTTGTGCTGCTGAAGTCCAGTGGATGCAGTCAACCGGACTGGATACACAGAGTTTAGAGGTTTATGAGCATTACTATCAGTAGTCACAAACTCCCCCAATGGAAAACCCACTCATACTGTTTGGCACAAATGGCAGCATACACATTCAGTAGATTTGTTACGGCAGTGGACAGGTACAAATGAAATAATGCAGACATGGGGCTCACCAACTGTCAATGGCTTCTTGAATTAGCTCTCCATTGCCTGATTGATTGTAAACTCTTGCACGCCCATAATCCTCCTCAATTTCGAAAACCTTGGAGCACACATTAGCACAGTTTTTACAACCTGCACAGACGTGAGCAGAACTTAAATCAGAACCCAGTTTAGATAATCTAACAGTATCTCCTGACCAGGTTATAGCCATCAGTGGTAGTAGTACCTATGCAGCTAAACTCGTCGACAAACACATGATCCCTGGGTGCATCATCCAAGAAGGGGTTGGTTGCTGTTGCAGTAAAGCCATTGATCTCGTCATACACGGCTCGCTGGACGGGGTCGGTAAGTACCTGTTCATCCCTTGCTCATGTTATTAACTTCATCGATTAGATTGCAACGCAAATTGTTCGTGTCCCCTGAAGAAAAGAGCGTACGGTTTTCATTTCTCGGGAATTTTACCGTGTAAACCTCGTTGATGAACATGCAGAAGTTGGTCACGTCAGGGTCGTTCCCACTGAGATCTGGATGGCACGCCTTCATGCAATTGTAGTACGCTTTCTTGATCTGCTGCGGTGTTGCGTCCGGCATCTGAAAACATGGAGGAATTATTATCAGCTCAGTAGCAGCCTAGCAGGGGAAAGACGATTGTTTTCCCACAAGAGTGCGAACGAGTGGTCAGACGCTGAAGAACTTACGACGCCAAGAACGGCGTAGTAATCTTCGGCGGCGCTCCCCTCCGGGCTGCGGGGCTCCGTCGCCACCGCGGACACCCTGAAGCCCCTCCTCCCCCACGTCCTCCGTCTCCGGTGGCGGTCCCTCCTCCCGGCGCCGGCCAGCCCCGCGACTGCCCATCGCCGGACACTGCCGGAACAGCGGACGGCCGTGGAGGAGGAATGGGCCTTGGCCACCAGGTCGGCGAGCAGCGGCGGAGACAGGAGAGGAGCCATCGGGTAGAGGATGCTCGATCGCGCTTCGGTGCGAGGGAGGGAGGGGAGGAGCGAGGAGAAGGCCGGCTGGATCCGGTGGCCGTGGGGCTTTGCTTGCTCGGTTTTGCTGCGTTTTCCTGGCAGCCTGCGTTATTACGGTTTTTCTCAACCACACTTCTCCCGCGATTTTTCTCCACCGTTCTTCTTCACGAAGCTGACCTTGCTGATGTTTGTATTTGCGTGGATACCCTCAGCTACGTCGGCATTTCTCAAAATGTCCGTGGTGCAGTAAACTCCCACTCTCTTTTTTTTGGGTAAAAAATATATTTCTTGAGGTGAGCCTGGTTGATCGAAAATAAAAATGATACTCAAATGCAAGCCATCATCAAATTTTCTCTCTCGACTTCTTCATTTTTATGGCTGCCAGTAGCTTACAGTGCTTTTATTTGCGGGTGAGCTCTTTTTTTGAAAATAATTTGCGGGTGAGCTTACAAGGCTTTTCTGACAACGAAGTAGGCGCCCTAACTTCTCAAGGATTCAGGTTACGTGATGCAAATAAGTCTTTTCAAGGTGATAATGTTGCACATATAAGCTAGTAGAGCGGGACTCTCCGTTGCTCCAGGCCACGGAGGTCGGGGGAGTCTGTACAACTGGTATTCTTCTGAGGACGCTCGGGTTTGAAAGTCATCGAGCATATCAAATAGTGGAAGCATGCAAACTTCACGAGTGAATAATCGAAACTGGGGTCAACAGTATTCACACCAAGCGGACACGCAAGGAATAATTCATGTACGTTTCATGATCTTTGTAGATATGACGATCTTGTATAATTGTCCTCTAATTATGTAGTAACTTTGTACTTCACATCTTATCACGGTGTCTTTCCTAACTAGTGGTATTTTGACCCGAAGAAAGGTGGTATTTTGTACTTTGCACTTCACATCTTGTACTCCCTCCATTTCCTTGAGAAAGTTGGATAATGAAGGAGTTATATATTCAATTATTCATGCTTCAGACTTCAGCAAAAAAGGTGTGGGCCCTAGGCTCCTGGTTGAGAACCTAGAACGAACTGGTGGTGGTGGTACAGGGGTATCAGCCGTGATAGGGAGAGGATTTGTCAAAATAAAAAATTGACGTGGAGATTGAAAACATTGTTTATGTCTGTCTAGGCTGACTTGGCAACTTCACTGCCTCCACTTTTGAGTTCAGGAGGCATAGGGGGTGGGACCCCATAGCCCCATCGCAAGGAATCGTCCACAAATCGAACAGCCAGAAAAATTAATTAAACTAACATACAAACGTTTTGGAATAATAATTTCAAAATAATATAGAATCATCCATCTCATTTGTCATAGTGCCTTCAAGACACGCAAGTTCATTTTAGAGACATACGCTCTGCACGCCATTAGAACTAATAAAACCATAACGATTTAACTTCGGTCAAAACCATAAAACACATGATCAAATTGTTTAACTCATGTAGGATGTAGTCACATTAGACCTTATACAACGCCAGGTGTTTAGGTAGGTGCTCAGAAAAATAAACCGATTTTTTTAAACATCAGTATCTATTTTTACAAAAGAGACGCTTAAGAAACCTTATACAAACAAGCACCGGTGTTTAAAAAAAAGCTTCAACCACCTCCCCTAAGTACATTGCATTATACAAGGCCTTGCTAGACAACCAATCTTTTCTTTCTCAATCAATATTTCTTTCCTGGAGGCACCGGTAGATCCGGTTATTGATAAATAATTTTGAAAAATAAATTCATATAATTACTAGCTAAAACTATAATCATAATACCCCAATTTTCGCGCAACTGTAGCATATGGCACGCTGCTCAATATATTTATATTTTCATCGCGGTCACTAGCTTGACTCTCTTTCTGGTACAACCAAGGCTTGTGTTTTTGTTGTTGTTTTTTTCACCCACAAAAACATTTAGGTTTGTTTTTTTAACTATGAACCTAGTTGAGATAAGTTTTTTTTTGTGAAAAGCATAAGATCTATTACTCCTATAAAACCTCACCAGAAGTACAAAGCATCTCAAACATAATAAAAATTAGATCGAGATTTTGAGACCAACGAAGGACCGCTAGTGCCACCAGACCGAGCCACCGGCACGCCATTGTTGCCACCCCCTACCGAAGCCAGCTTGACCTTGTCGATAACAGCCAGGAAGTCTTCATGCACATGCACATAAAAAGAAAGCGGGAGAAAAGACCACCAAGTGGCCATCTCGTCCTTCGTCTAACATTCCCTCTTCCCACTCGTCTTTTCTTGACTTCCCAAATAAAATTATCTTTTCTTTGGCAATACAATAAGTTCTTACCAAATAAGTGATTATCAAATAACAACAACAAGAAAGCCTTTAGTCTCAAACAAGTTGGGGTAGGCTAGAGCTGAAACCTATAAAATCTCGCAATCAACTCATGATTCTGGCACATGGGCAGCTAGTTTCCACGCATCCATGTCCATGGCTAGTTCATTGGTGATACTCCAGTCCTTCAGATCTTTCTTTGAGGACTCCTCCCATGGCAACTTTTAGTCTACCTCAATTTTTCTTGACATTATTAGTATGCTTTAGCCGTCCGCTATGCACTGGAGTTTCTGGAGGCCTACTGAAAGAACATGCGGTGCCCCCATGTTTGGTTTTGGTAATTGATGACAATCTCTATGGACTAATGGTTGCCTTGAGTTATATTTGAAGGTTTTTGTCCATAGGCTTTTCTTGGAGTACATGTGTTGGTTTCAAGGAGAGTTTGTGTCGACCAAGGTGCTATTCAAGGAATTACCTAAAGATTGGTCTTGTGAGAGGTTGATCAAGACTAAGTCAAAGAGTGAATCAAGTTGACCAACCCACAAAGCCTAGAAGATGTACCGAGAGGGATCAAGTGATCCCATGGTATGGTAAGCATTGTCAATTACGCTTTGTGTACTAACCCATGGTCTTCGTGAGGGTTCTTTGTGGGGTTAGGTTGCGGTGTGCAAGTTCAAGTGGAGCATCACGAAGAGATCAAATGCTTGAAGCTTGCCGTCCTTTGTGGTGACAATGGACTTGTGAAGATGTGCGGAAGAGTGGCTCACCCATAGTGGAGTATGGGGGAGCAATCAACTAGTCTTCATCAAGTCAACACAATCAAGAAAGGTTGCGGTGTGCAAGTTCAAGTGGAGCATCACGAAGAGATCAAATGCTTGAAGCTTGCCGTCCTTTGTGGTGACAATGGACTTGTGAAGATGTGCGGAAGAGTGGCTCACCCATAGTGGAGTATGGGGAGCAATCAACTAGTCTTCATCGAGTCAACCCAATCAAGAAAGGTGGTCCAACTTGAGGGAGTCAAAATCGTCATCATCTAGCTCAAGTGGACCATGTGCAAGGCAAAGGTTTGCCCTTGGTAGGTTTTCTATTTTACCGGTCTCATGATGGTAGTTGGGAGACCGGGTTATAGGATCGATTGCCATACTATCAAGGGGGCCCCTCAATGAGTAGCTTGATCGTATCATTCGTTGAGAGCTCAAACCATTGCATCCTTGCATCATCTTTCTTGGTTCTTGTTTGGATCTCTTTGTGAGTCTTAGAGCTTACGGTCATCTTGTTGACAAGCTTGAGTTCATCAAAAACGGAGTTCGCTTGCATCTTCTATGATGTTTTCGATGTTGGAGGTTTTGCTGATTCTTCTCGGTTGGAGGTTTCACTCCTCTTTTTGTTAGGCATACCTCCACTCGCTGTTTTGATGCTACTCGTCGTCTTGTTTCCAACAAGTTTGAGTTTGCTCAATTCGGAGCTCATATGCAGAAGTAGTGGCAGTTCTTGTTGTCTTGAGTGTGGTTTTTGTCAGGGTCCCTGCGGTAGTACCGTGGTACCCAGCGGTAGTACCGCTGAGGGGTCACAAGCGGCAGTACTGCTCCACAGCGGTAGTACCGATGGTGACTCCGCAGCAGTACTACCGCTGGCTTACCAGGGATCTTTTTCTGTGTCGGATTGTGCGGTACTGTAAGTGCATCTAGTGCCACCCCTAGTTGGTTTTGGAGTATTGACGACAAACCTAGTTGAGGGACTAATGTGTTTGTGAGAATTGCAGGATAACACAGGTAGAAGTCCCTCATTGATTCGGTTTTCCTACCAGAGATGACCCCTAAAGATGTATGAAGACATTGAAGTCAAAGGTGGTATATGAAGATATTCACATTGAAGACTATGACAAGAGAAGACACCACATGAAGCCTATGGAGCTCGAAGACTTAGATCTTTCGTATTTCTCTTTCTTCTGTATTGAGTCATAGGAACCACCGTACTATTAAATGGGGTCCAAGAGAACCAGTCAGAATGACTGAAGTGATGCTTAAACAAAACCTATGTCTTTGAGTGAAGACTTTGAGAGCGAATCTTGTCCAGAGTCGGGCAAGTCAGCTTTGCTTGAAGCCCAAGTAAAGTTGCCGTGTGAGTTTGAAATCTGACCGTTGGAACACGTGTCAGTTCCTTAGTGACCCAGGGTCATTTCGGGCAAATCAGGTCGGGTTGCCAAGTGGCTATAAATAGCCCACCCCCTACAACCATAAACGGTTGGCTGCTCAGATTTAGAGTACGGCTTTTGTCGTTTGAGAGCAACCCACCTCGAAGCCTTTGAGAGAGAATTCCTTGCGAGGATAAAGCCCTAACCACCCAGAGCCAAAGAGAATTAGGCATCACTTAAGTCTTCTTGTCTGTGTGATCTAAAGACTTATTACACTTGAGGACTGTGCATCCTCCAGCCGGTTAGGCGTCGCGTTCTGAGCATCCAAGAGACATTATGGATTGCCGGTGAATGAAGTCTGTGAAGGTTTGGGAGTCTACCTTGAAGACTTACCAGAGTGATTGGGCGAGGTATGTGTGACCTTAGCTCAAGGGGAATACGGTGAGGACTGGGTGTCCTGAGCTGCGTGTTCAGGACTGGGTGTCCGGGACTGTGTGTCCTAAGGTTTAAATACCTAGCCGCCCTAACCAGATGTACAGTTGTCACAACAACTGGAACTGGTCCAA